TTTATTTATTTTTGCAAGTTTTACAGGGGTCAGGTACCACCTATAGTACATTTTCATAAGATTTTCCCTTATGAGGAAACAAGCTGTGAATTTTATATTTTTAGTCCATAATTCATTCCAAATATTGGGTTTGATCGTATGTCCCAGGTCCCTCTCCCATTTTACTGTAATTTCTTTGATATCTTCCTCCTTTCTTTGCCAATTCAAAAGTAGTTTGTACACTTTAGAAAGTATCTTTTGATTATTATATAAAATATCCTTCTCCAGATAGGATTTTTTTTGTTGAATCCTTTGGTTCTTTTATCCTTTTCAAGGGCGGCTTTTAATTGATAGTACTGCAGCCAGGTTATTCCCTTCTGTTTCAATTCGCTTAGGCCCTTTATTTTCGGATCACTACTTGTTTCCTCTACTAAATCCTTATATGTTAGCCAATCGCTGTTCATATTTATCCTGTGAACCTTTTGATTTAGGACTTCTGTGTTTTTGATTAATATCCAGTCCTTAATCCATGTCCAGCACGCTGCCTCAAAGTACAGTTTAAGGTCAGGGACCGCAAAGCCTCCTTTTTCCTTCAACTCTGTTAGTAGCTTAAATTTTATGCGTGGTTTTTTCCCTTGCCAAATAAACTTGGCAAGGTCTTTCTGCCATTCCTTAAAACACTTTACGCCTCTAATTATAGGTATTGTTTGGAACATAAAAATCATCTTTGGCAATACCATCATTTTAACTGTGGATATTCTCCCCCACAGGGACAAATTCAATTTCCCTCAAGTCTCTAATTCTTTTTTTATTTCCTTCCACTTCTTCTCATAATTGTCCTTATATAAGTTTATATTCTTATTGGTGATCCAAACCCTCAAATAATTTACCTTATTGGCTACCTTTAAACCTGTTGTATTTTCCAGTTCCTCTTGTTCCAACTTACGCAAATTTTTCATTAATAATTTGGATTTTCCTTTATTCAGCTTGAACCCAGAGACCTTCCCAAATTCTTCCAGTTGTGCAAGCGTTTTTTGGATACTTTCCACTGGGTTTTCAGTGGTTACGATTACATCATCGGCAAAGGCTTTAATTTTGTAGTATCGAGTTCCTAGGTTAATTCCTCTTATATTTTTATCCTTTCTTATTGCTATTAAAAGTGGTTCCAAGGTGGCAATAAAAAGAAGTGGGGAGAGAGGGCACCTCTGTCTTGTCCCCCTTTCGATGCGGAACTCTTCGGTGATCTCGTTATTTATTAGCAATTTTGCTTTTTGGTTATTATATATCACCCTAATTCCATTACAGTGGTACCTCGCAAGACGAATGCCTCGCAAGACGAAAAACTTGCAAGACGAAAGAGTTTTTCGGTTTTTGAGTTGCTTCGCAAGACGAATTTCCCTATGGGCTTGCTTCGCAAGACGAAAAACGAAAATGTCTTGCAAGTTTGTTTCCTTTTTCTTAAAACCGTTAATACCCAGGGCATTCCTATGGGAAACCGTGCTTCGCAAGACGAAAAATTCACAAGACGAAAAAACTCGCAGAACGAATTAATTTCATCTTGCGAGGCACCACTGTAATTATTTTCTCCCCTATGTCCAGACCTTTGAAAGTTTCTAATAGGAAATTCCATGATACTCTATCAAAAGCTTTTTCTGCATCAACCAATAACATGGCCATCTTTTTACTTGGTTTCATTTCCACATATTCCAACAGGTCAATTATTATTCTTGTATTGTCTTTTATATGTCTATCCGGTAAGAAGCCCGCCTGGTCTCTGCTGATTATTTTGTTTAGAGTCTTTTTTAATCTATTAGCCATCACCCCAGCATAGATTTTATAGTCTGTATTCAACAGGGAGATTGGTCTATAATTTTTCATGTCTGTCAACTCCACTCCCTGTTTCGGGATTAGAGTGATCAGTGCTTCTTTCCATGATTGTGGTATATCCTTCCCTCCCAGTATATTATTCATTATTCTTTGTAATATAGGGAGGATTACTTCCAGGTTCTTATAGTACATTAGTGTGATTCCGTCAAGACCTGGCGATTTGCCACTCTTCATTTTTTTTATTACTTGTGCTATTTCATCTATTTCTATATTGGAGTTTAGGGCCTCAACTTCTTCTTTTTCAATTCTTGGTAATTTATTTTGTTGTAAATACTCTTCCATTTTATTAACCTCTAATTGTTCTTGTTTATACAAATCTTTATAAAAGTTTAAGAATTTTATTTTTATTTTTACTGGGTCTGTTATTTCCTCTCCTTGGTCCAAAATTTTATTTATAACTTTTTTTGTTTGCTTTTCCTTTATCATCCATGCTAACAACTTACCGGGCTTATTGGCGGACTCAAAATACCTTTGTTTTGCCCATTTAGTTTTATTTTCTACTTCCTTATTTAATATACTAGAGATATGGGATTGCAATATCTTTATTTTTTGTAATATTTCATTACTTTTTGGATTTTTGATCAACTCTTTTTCATTAATTCTTATCTGTTTAGTTAGCTCTTGGATATTGTCTTTTATCTTTAGCCTAGCCATTTGTTGTATTCCAAGACCCCTCATATACGCTTTACTTGCATCCCAAACTACATTTATATCTGTATTTTGTTTCCCATTTATCTCGAAAAATTCCGCTAACTTGATTTTTGCTTGCGTCACCCATTGGTCGTCTCTCCATATCTCATCGTTCATCCTCCACCTTCCCTTAAAGGTAAAATTCTTATTTTCTGCTTTCTGCAAATTTTACTTTTAAGCCGTGTTTTAGGGTGACCTCCTTCGTCCTCTTCTTTGCTTTAGACTCTGGGTTTTATTTTATTTTTTCAAAAAAAATTATTATTAGTTTTCCAAATTTATAACAAACAGATAGAAAAGGGAAAATCAAAAAACAAGCCAACAAACATTTGTCCTAATTATAGTAGTTCCACTTTTGTTAACATTGTTAGGATACTTCCTCGAATCCCCCTGGCTGAGTTTCCATATAAAACATTGTAACAGTTTTCCAAAACTATTTTCACATAAAATTTACTTGGTCAATTAACTTATTTCTTTCTTTTCATTTTTAACTTTAACATAGTATTTTACACATCACATTTTCAAATCCCAGGCCTATTTGGTACTCACAAGTAATTCTATTTATATTATCTTAACATATTTAGCTAGATAGTCTTTGAATTTCTTCCACTCCTCTTGATGCTGCTCCTTCCTCTGGTCACGGACTCTTCCGGTCTGGTCGGCTAGCTCCCCAAAATCCATCATCTTTATCTGCTATTCCTCCACTGTTGGTACTGCTTGTAATTTCCAGTTTTTGGCCAGCAAAATTCTAGCTGCAGTTGTGGCATACAAAAACAATCTAACATCTTTTTTGGGCAATTACAAACCTATTATTCCAAGTAGAAAGGCTTCTGGTTTCTTAATAAATGTATATTTCAACATTTTTTTCAATTCATTGTATATCTTTTCCCAGACCTTGGGACAGGTACACCACATATGATAAAAGGTACCTTCTTTTTCTTTACATTTCCAACATAGATTATCAGTCCTGTGGTAAATCTTTGCTAATTTTACAGGGATTAAGTACCATCTATACATCATTTTCATGACATTTTCCTTTAACACTGTGCATGCAGTGAACTTAACCCCTTTCCTCCACAACCTTTCCCAGTCTTCAAACATTATATTATGTCCAACGTCTCTTGCCCAATCTATCTTCACAGATTTAACTTGTTCATCCTTTGTGTGCCACTCCAACAATAAATTGTACATTTTAGACAAATTTTTTATCTTTAGAATCTAGCAACTCCATTTCCAATTTGGATTTTTCCGATGCAAAACCATTTTTTAAATCTAATTTATACAATTTGTTAATCTGATGGTAATGTAACCAATTTATTTTATCTTTGATTTGGTCAAATAGTCTTAATTCAAATCCTTCTTTATCTTCCAGTAATAGATCTGAATATCTCAACCAATTAGTCTCCATATTGGACTTTTTCTGAGCCTTTGCCTCCATTGGCAAAAGCCATCTGGGTGTTTTTCTTTCTAAGACATCTTTGTATTTTATCCAAACGTTATTTTTAAAACCATTATGGGCCTTTATATTGTCATACCATAGATACGCATGCCATCCAAACGCATTGTCAAATCCCTCCAAGTCAAGAACATCTTCATTATCTAGTTGTATCCATTCCTTAACCCAGCAAAGGGCTGTGGCTTCAAAATATACCTTCAAATCTGGCAGGGAAAATCCCCCTCTTTCTTTTGAATCTGTTAATAATTTATATTTAATTCTGGGTTTTCCCCCCTGCCAGATAAATCTAGACAAAGCTTTCTGCCATTCTTTAAAACATTTCACATTATCAATGATTGGGATGGCTTGAAACAAAAACAACATCTTTGGCAATACATTCATCTTAACCACCGATATCTGGCCCATTAGTGATAATTTTAAATTTGACCAAGTCTCAAGATCTTATAGAATCATAGAATCATAGAATCATAGAGTTGGAAGAGACCACAAGGGCCATCGAGTCCAACCCCCTGCCAAGCAGGAAACACCATCAGAGCACTCCTGACATATGGTTGTCAAGCCTCTGCTTAAAGACCTCCAAAGAAGGAGACTCCACCACACTCCTTGGCAGCAAATTCCACTGTCGAACAGCTCTTACTGTCAGGAAGTTCTTCCTAATGTTTAGGTGGAATCTTCTTTCTTGTAGTTTGGATCCATTGCTCCGTGTCCGCTTCTCTGGAGCAGCAGAAAACAACCTTTCTCCCTCCTCTATGTGACATCCTTTTATATATTTGAACATGGCTATCATATCACCCCTTAACCTCCTCTTCTCCAGGCTAAACATGCCCAGCTCTCTTAGCCGTTCCTCATAAGGCATCGTTTCCAGGCCTTTGACCATTTTGGTTGCCCTCCTCTGGACACGTTCCAGTTTGTCAGTGTCCTTCTTGAACTGTGGTGCCCAGAACTGGACACAGTACTCCAGGTGAGGTCTGACCAGAGCAGAATACAGTGGCACTATTACTTCCCTTGATCTAGATGCTATACTCCTATTGATGCAGCCCAGAATTGCATTGGCTTTTTTAGCTGCCGCGTCACACTGTTGGCTCATGTCAAGTTTGTGGTCAACCAAGACTCCTAGATCCTTTTCACATATACTGCTCTCAAGCCAGGTGTCCCCCATCTTGTATTTGTGCCTCTCATTTTTTTTTGCCCAAGTGCAATACTTTACATTTCTCCCTGTTAAAATTCATCTTGTTTGTTTTGGCCCAGTTCTCTAATCTGTCAAGGTCGTTTTGAAGTGCGATCCTGTCCTCTGGGGTGTTAGCCACCCCTCCCAGTTTGGTGTCATCTGCAAATTTGATCAGGATGCCCTTGAGTCCATCATCCAAGTCGTTGATAAAGATGTTGAATAAGACAGGGCCCAAGACAGAACCCTGTGGCACCCCACTAGTCACTCTTCTCCAGGATGAAGAGGAACCATTGATGAGCACCCTTTGGGTTCGGTCAGTCAGCCAGTTACAAATCCACTGAGTGGTAGCATAGTCAAGACCGCATTTTACCAGCTTCTTTACAAGAATACCATGGGGCACCTTGTCAAATGCCTTGCTGAAATCAAGGTAGGCTACATCCACTGCGTTCCCTTCATCTACCAGTCTTGTAATTCTGTCAAAAAACGAGATCAGGTTAGTCTGACATGATCTCGCTTGATTTCATAATTTCTCATAGTTATCGTTATATAAGTTCAGATTTTTTGTCGACAAATTTACACCCAGATATTTAACTTTTTTCACTAAAACTAGGCCTGTTTTTTCTTGCAGCAATTTCCTTTCCTCATTGTCCAAATTTTTCTCTAATACTTTGGTTTTGCTCTTATTTAACTTAAATCCTGCTACCTGTACGTACTCCTGTATCACTAGGTTGCTCAGGTTCTTGAGGCATCTCATAGAAAGAGTAAGCACCATCTCTTGTGCTGAGGTTCTCCCTCTCTCTCTGCCACTTGGAAGAGGGGCCTAGGGGGTTCGTGCCACCTTTCTTTGTTGTTCTGCCACCAGGATTTGCCATTGTTGACTTAAGGCTCCAGTGATTTGATCTATTTGTGTCTTTAGAACCGCATTCTGTTGAAGCAGCAACTGTACCTGGCCTTCTTCAGCTCCTGTTTGCTTCTGAGCTCTGTCTGCGGCCCCTCCTTCGGCTCCTGTCGACATGATTAATTGCTCCTCCGGCAATTATAGTGATAGAGTGTGAGCTAGCTGTCAAGTACAGGAGTTCCCTTCTCCCTCCTGGTAGCACACCGATAAGAATGTGCATCTGGTATATTTATAGTCTTTTTATTACAGTATCACGTTGTGAACACAGATTGGCCTCCCTCTGCCAGGATCGGAGTAGCTCACTCTGACTCCTCCCCTCCCCTTCTGCAGCAAGCAGCATGCCAACGGGAAGTCCTGCCTCCCCTGCATCTCTTTTGTTCTCTGACAAGCTTGTACCTCCAAGATTGGGGAAAGGGAGGGGGTCCCCCCCCTCTCTATTGATGTATAACCCAGTTGCTTCCTTCCTTCTGGTTCCCTAGCAACAATCTCAAAAGCTGAGCAGCTCTATGTCTCCCTGTCTCTCTGCTTCTGGAGACACTGACAGTGAGGGGTGGTGAATAGTCCCCCTCTTCTGTTAGAAGCTGATCTCCCTGCCCTCCCCAATCCTCATCTTCAGAGTATTCTCGGACATTATAGCAAGAATTATTAGGCTTTTAAAAGGGGGCATTGTTTATTTTCCCCAAGGACAAGCTGCTGATCTGCTGGGATTGATTAATAAAAGTTTCCACTGTCCTGCTTCTTTTGAAACTTCAGGCTATATGCAGCCGAAAATGGAAAGTGGCCTTTTGCATGCTTTTCTTTTTAAATGCCACTGAACTGCAAATAGACCTCCAAGAATCAAGTGGAGGAGGTTGTGAATATTGCTCCAAGCATGTTATTTAATGCTGCAATGTTACTGAATGGTGCAACTGACCAAGAAAACCTAATGAAAGACCAGCCACAAGGCAAGTCCTCCATTTTATGGGGAAAATATCAGACTTTATGTGGCAACTAAAATGGAAGGTTGCTGTTTGTTGGAAAATATTCGTGTAATATTTGGAAAATAACTGTAAGCAAGTGAAAACGCTAACAGGGTTAATTTAAATTAAGATAATATAAAAGGAGGGGGGAGTAGATAGTTGAAATAGAATATTCAGTATGTTTTGGAAGTATAAAGGAACCATGGATGTAGAAGAAGGGAAATCACTGAATGTAATTGTCAGGGGTTCAGGGAGAGAGGCACAGGGTAGGCAGGAGATGGAGAGCGATGGGGAGGAATTCCAAGCCAGCGAGGAAGAGGATGACAATGACTCAAGAGATTCCATGAGTCTTTCCAGCGAATCAGAGGATTCCCAGAAGGGGCGCCGGTGGTCAAGGCCAGGGAGCCCCAGGGGGGCAAGTGGCAGGAGCAGGGTCCCAGCGGACGATCACCAAGTGGCAGCTGGGCGTCAGGACCAGCCTCCTCACCAGAGTGCCGCGAAGGGTGAGGCGTTGCCAGTCTGGCAGAGGAAGCAGCACCAGCAGCAGAGAAAGGAGGGGGGTCAGAGCAAGCCACCCTCCCGGAAGAGGAGGGGAGCAGTGAAGGGAGTAGTGTAACTGTCAAAAGGAAAGTTAGAGGTTTGGCGCGCGCGCCTAGTTCAAATGTAGAGGCGCGCGGAAGTGCAGGGAGCCCGGAGGAGGGGCCAGGTCCCAAAGCCCGCAGGAGGGGGAAGAGCAGTCTGATTCCGCGTCAGAGGAATCCAGGAGGGCGAAACCCCAGTGGGCAGAAGGACCCTGCGGAAAAGGAAGGAGAGAAAGAGGGGGAGCAGCGCAAGTCTCTTAAATTGGTGCAGGGAGGTACTGACTCAGAGGGGACTTCAGCGGTCTAGCGTAAGAGACGTAAGGCTGCGCGCCTAGGATGTCAAGCAAACCATGAACCGCAATAAACACCTTTGTATATAAGAAGACATAGGCGTTGGTCTTTTGTGAGCTAAGACTTGAGGCAGCCTTGACAGTAATGTTTTTATATTTTATTTTGGAAATGTATATCTGAAAATTTAATAAGATCATGAAAAAAGAGAGGCAGATAGAGGTAGACAGCTAAGTGGAATAATAATAATAATTAAAAACCATGCCTGGTTGAACACAGAACCCATATAGAGCATGGGTACCATACTAAACAAGTTCAGATTGGAGATCCTGCACTGAAAATGCCACAGAAACAGTTGGAGGTACTGTACTGGAACAGCAAAACTATAGAAACGCTGTTGGGTGCTTCATTGAAGAAGCACAGGTTTCAAATTAAAATAAAATTTACACACAAGGGAAAGGAAGCCGCATGCAATAGCTGTTGCACTCACACTGAGAGGTGGTGGGTGGGTGATCCCAGCTTGTCGATATCCTCCTTGAAATGTGCCACCCAGAATTGGACACATCCTGTTTCTGTTCTCATCCTGAAGCAAAGTTCTTAACCTGAGGTACTATTTCTGGGTTAGCGGAGTCTGTAACCTGAACCGTATGTAACCCGAAGCGTATGTAACCTGAGGTACCACTGTACCTCAGTGGCTTAATGTTTGAAAGGGCTGTAGAACTGTCGGGGGAAGCAGCCACCCCCCTGCATCCACCCCTGCCATTTTAGGGGAAGCAGCCAGCACCCATCCCTGCCCCCTCAGGGGAAGCAGCCAGCACCCGCCCACCCTGCACCCATCCCTGGGTAGGGATCACTGCCAGTTTTTATATTGGATCATAGATCACAGCCTACTTCAATTTGGACATGCCTACATTGGCTAGTCCTTTCATTTTGGTGTCATCTGCACATTGTATGAGCAGTACCTTCAAGTCGTTTAGAAAGGCATTGAACAACTATGGGCCCAGGGCAGAATCCTTCAGCACTGCTCTTGTCACTTTTTCCCAGGATGATGATGAATGTTAGTGAGTGCTTTTTGGGTTCAGTCAACCAGCTACAAATCTACCTTACAGTTACCTCATTCAGCCCATGTTTTACCAGCTTCTTGGCAAGAATATCACAGGGTCTTTGTCAAAAGCCTTACTGAAATCAAGATACCCTATGTCCACAGCATTCCTCCCCCACTTCAACCTGTGACGTGTCCTCAGTGTCCCACTAGCAATCCCTGGGCTCCTCATCATCCAGCCAGGACCTGATATGAGGTCTGAAGTCTAAGATGGTACAACCCATAAGAATCAACAATAGGATTAGTATAATTTCAGAACTTAAGTGTTTGTGGCATTTTGTTTTGTCTGATTGGAATCTGCTGCCCATAAATATCATTGTGTGACTTGAAATTCCATTGTTTAGATAAAGTTAATTGTGTGCTGCTCTTTGACCCATGGTTTTGCCCAGAGCTGAGGGTGATGAAACAATCGCTGAGATGGCTAGAGCACTGGGGGGGGGCTCATTTTGACACAGGGACACAGGGGACTCATTCTGACTCAACCTGGACACAGGTTAGAGCTCAACGTTGAGCCTACCAAGTGGCAGTAGAGACAGTGAAGAAGACCTTCTTTACCTCTTCTATTGCATCTGCAGAAAATAGCAGCAGGAGACTCTTTCAGTTTGCAATTTAATGGAACCACCTTTGCCATTGGAACCTGGTAAAGAACCCAAGATCCCAAGTTTATTTTTGCAGATAAAGTCGCTCAGATTCAGAAAGAGGAAGACTCCACCGTGGGAGCAGAGCTGGGGCAGAAGAGTGATAGAATCCTGTCTGGTCAAGTTGCATGGGATCTGTTGCCTCTGAGGATGTGGACAGGCTGCTTGGATGAGTGAAACCGACCACCTGTCTCCTTGATCCTTGCCCATCCTGGCTCATAAAAGTAAGCCGGGAAGGGCTGGGTGATGGGCTCCGTGTTAGGGGACATTCGGCACAGAAACATGTGTGTATACCTTTAAGAAGTTTCTGGGATTAATTGGCTGCAGCTGGCCGTTGCTATAAAAGAAAAAGCTGAGTTTTGTGGCCTGCCTGCAGGAATAACACCCACCAGAGTTTGTTTATTGTTTTGTAATAAAGTCTTCATTTTAGTTTGGGTTTTTACACCTATGTCTCCTGGAGTCACTCTGTCCTCTGCCGCTGGCTGGAAATCCCCCTCCAACAGGTTATGGGCCCAGTCCCCAGTCCTGAGTGGGCAGAGACAAAGCGTGAAAAGAACCTAGAGACTGGAAGCAACTCAGCGTTTCTCAAGCAGCTGGCTGTGTGAAGGCATAGGCAGGGAGTGTCTGTTTGAGACCAGGAGCCGAACATTTCTTCAAACCACGTGTGAGTAAGGACTGAGTGGAAAGCTGAAAGCTGGGTGGAGCCATGGCTGGACTTGGAGCTGAAGCTCAAGGGGGAGCTTCATATTTTCCAGTAGAGAAACTGGGAGAGTCCAATTATATGTCATGGAGTTTACAGATGCAGGCGTTTTTAAAGAAAGAACAATGTTGGACTGTTATTGCTAACCCTCCTGTAAAAGAGGAGGATGAAGAAGTAGATG